TTCAGCATGTTTCTGAGTTCTACAATGTATATAATCACCTACCACAGTTCAGTTCATCAGAATTGTCCCCACAATCATTCTCTCCATCACAGATAAAGGCTGGAAGAGCACAAAGTCCCGTTCCGCACTGAAAACGTCCTGGCTGACATCTGAATTCAGCTGAGAAAGAAGAAAAGTGCTCATGAATACTATCAGAGGAATGGTTAAAGCATCAATAGCGTTGTTCTTCCTCTATGGACTAATCAAAAGAACTTATAAACCTTTGTATTTGCCTATATAATCTCAATCTGAGTAGGTATTAGTAACTAAAATGTACACATGCTACTGCAAAATTAATTTCAAAATCTGAGATTTTAAATTTGCGTAATTATAATTATACCTTACTAGCGATACAGAAGAGTGCAACCCTCTACAGGTTGATGCTTACTATTAGCTCAACAGAGACTTGCAATTTAGGATCTAAACACCTGAGTTCAAGTCTGCATTTAAGAAACTCACTGTCCCGCTCTAATGCTATTTCCCATAAACGGTCTAACATTGTTCCTTCTCACAGCCACTGCCATTTGAGTGAATGAGCAATTATGCCCCTCTGTAGTAATATCTTATATAAATGTAGTGTAGCTTAAAATGTGATCTTATGTGCAGTGATTACATATGTCAAAGCTTGCTTCAAAGGCCTCTGCAGCAGAAAAAGAGAACTAATTATAAAATTATAAAAATACGGGTGAGAGTTTTCAATACAAAAAGTCAAATTAACTGTTACTTAACTAGAAGATTGTAGAACACATAGTAGAGCATTTTGTGTACATAAGCTTAAGTGAAGAAGGCAAGAATCTTTTGATTTATGTAGACTAATGTAAGAGTATTAAAGTAGTCAGTGACCGGGACTGAAAAATAGCATCATCAACAGATATTACTCTTTACGAATCAAGTGCACTAGAAAGGTACTTTTCTAACAAGTAAACTTGCAGTCAGCTACCATCACAGCACCCATCCTTTGGGATGCTGAAAACATCATCATAATTGACTTCCAGTTGTCTACAATTCAATGGGGGAATACTACAGTAACCTGCTATTGGCCTATGGGAGGCTGTTGAGAAATGTGCTGTATCTGCACCACCTTCAGGATAGCGTGTCAAAGTTACAGAGGATGCATGAAAAATGTTCATTGCATAAAATTGTTCATACTGGAGGGGTGAGATTTAGCTCTCCAAACTTTCCTTTGACAATATTTATTAAACTATAAAATGAAAATATTTATGTGAAACGTAGTGTGAAAAATACACAGAATCATAGTAGGAATCACATGAAGAACATTGTTGTTGTTCAGAAAATTGCACTAAATAATAATGTGTAGCTAAACTTGTACAATTGCAATGAAACACAGGCAAACGAGATTAGAATTCCACATTTCTATGACATACAAAGATAAACCAAATAATCCTGGCAGGATTTTGTATTTATATATAAAAATTAACAACCTCAGAACATAGCTTTAAAATAAAAATATTTAGCAAAAACATAACTGGGATCAAGTAAAGGTTTAAAACATGTTCTTAGGATTTTCCAAAGACTTTAAAAGACCCTTAGTAGACACGAGTTAATGAAAATCTTTTACAGTCTGACAAACAAGAGCCTGCATTCTTTGTAAATTTGACAGAGACCAAGGAAAAGAAAACTGTGCTGCAAACAAAAGCATAAAAAAAAAAAATCCTCTTCCTAACATCTATAAAACATTATACTTGATTTGGACCCTACTGACAAAACTGGGTTGCAAATCCAGAATG